TGCTTCTCACACAAGTCTCTGCGTGAACTTAGGGCATCTTTTATCTCGTATTTTAGTTTTCTGATAGGCTGAGTTCAGCGTGTGAATATACATTCACAGTTGAATTCTGTACACTGGATTATCAGCAAGGGTCAGTCAGCACTGGTTCCAAGGACTTGCTGCTTTGTGACCTCTGACCTAGCAGATACTTGGAAAACAAGATCCAGACTACTCTTTTCTTGAGAAACGCTCAGAAAAACACCCATCCCTGACAGCAGAACACTGTCACAGATATCTTATTAGGGGGATAATATAAGAGGCTTCAGCAGGTCTCCCAGACTACAACAGCTAAAATAGAGGAATGGACATGATTGTTTTCTATTCTGCAGTTGACATTTCTCATCCAGTTCGAAGAACTGAGCTCCAGCCCTACCACTGCTGAAAATTCTCTTCCCTCAGGTATTTCAAACAATGAAAATCAATGCTGAATAACACATATTAAAAAAAAAAAGTTTAATGAACTTCCTAAGGCAACTCTTTCTGCTAGCATACAGAAAGTACATTTGCATAAGATGCATGCAATGATGCATGTCCCAACTTGGTTTCACTGCGTCCTTTAAAACCCATTGAATGGGTTTTGGGTTAGGACAATACACTCAGTACCACAGACACAGTTGCCTTACTTTTATTTAGGAAATAAAAATGCAACTATTGATAACTGCTCTCACCAGAAACACTCTGTCACTGGAAGTCACTTCCCCTACTCTGAGAAAAGAAAACCAGAAGAAACTCTTTCTACCCTCACTTTTACTCTGGCCTATAGTTTTGCTGTGTGCACAACAGTAATACATAAAAAAGCAAGGCAACAACCTTCTTTTTACACACATCTCATCAGGTACTTTATCAACATACCATCTTACACAGAGGTAGGCTTTTGTGTGGTTACTCCCACTTAACAGCTATTACTCCCACTTTTACTAATTAAGTTGCAAGTAAATCCCAGAAGCTGGGCAACAACATGGGATTTTTGGACTAATATCAACTGGGATATATAATATCTAACTTTAAAGCACTGATGCTGTGAGTCCCTCAGTGTAAAGGATCAGCTCTACCGATGATGAGGGCACTTCACGTGAACTAATAGTTGGTGCATAAACATTTCTGCTGCTTTCAAATTAGCTTTTCTACACACCAGGTATAACTAATGAAACTGGTTTATATACCAAACCCAAACCTCAGAAAAGCTACTTAGTTACGTTAATAAAGAAATATATCCACAGTTCTAAATCTAGGCCACTAAATAAATGTGGATGGATTTTTAATGTACAAAGACTGATAAAATGCCAATGATTTTGAGTTATATTTGTTCAGCTCCTTTGAAAATATGGCTATATGGTAAAAATCTCAAAATCCATCTAGCTGCCTAAATTTTGATCTTACTTTGGCGTTCACAACCTCCAAAAGAAAAAAAGAAAAAAAAAATCCAACTTGTTTCAAAGTTCTTGATTATTTCAGGTGAAGGACACCTTCTAAGAGTGCCTTTGCTGGAATTGGAAAGGGCACTGGGGAAGGGAATTTCACGTCACTGCAGAGTGAATATTTCTACTAGCTGAGATATTACAGCTGCCACTGGCAGGCTTTGGAAGTAAGTTTACAGACAGATCAGACCTACATGCACAAGTCTTGATTGGTGTAATTTATTAAGAGGAGACAGAGGAGGTTGTAAAGGAAGAGTGTAAATTAAAGGAGGGGCCCTATTTCAGCTTCTTCCCACATGTTTATAAGAGCAGAAGGCAGCTGAGTTATGCTGTGACTTGCGTTACTAAGAAGCAGTAAGCACGACTATGCTCTACGTGCACTCCTTTGTCAGTCAAAGGGACGCAAAAGGAATAACTCCACACTTCACAAAAGCAAGTTTAGCTAACACAGTTCAGTTTCCATTTGCAACTGTATGGATGGATTATGGATGAAAGATCAGGAGCACGGAACCACCGAGGCTTAATAAATTACCACTTGTCAGCTATGCCACACTCCTGCCCCGTTAGAGCTGACAAAATACAGGTTTAAACATTTGTCACAATTAAACCTTTATTTTAAATCACACAGTTGGTGTAAACTAACACATTTTTGCTCAATAGCTGTGGGCAGAAGGCATGCCCACATGCGTTTGGTGGAGCAGCTAAGTTGGACAGCAGAAAATATATCTGGGTATGTTAGTGATCACTTTCCCATGGCATGTACCCCATCATGTATCAGAGCCTATATGCCTGCTTACACTCTGGCTCCAGCATGGCTCTCACCTTATACTTGTTGTCAGAAGGATAAATTCAGAGGTAATTAGTGCCCACACAGTAAATTATGCATGAGTAAGCAGGTGAGAGTCCAAAGGTGCTGTAGCACTTTCAAGCATACCAAGGATGGCTCGAACTAGTCTGAAGAAAAGCAGTTCAAGCTCACTAATAAAGAGCTCAGCACTATTGCTGGAATATTTAAAGGTTCTTTTTTGGAGTAATTTGTAAACTCTGTCTCTCTGCTAATTTTTAGGCCTGACTCTATACTTGCTTTCATTGTGCAAATACAACTTACTCTAGAAACAACGAAGAAAATGTACATCTTGTAGAGAAAGTCTGACATCTATTTATGCCCCTCATTTCACAGACAGGTCTCCAGAGGTTTGCCTTTATCCATAGAGAAAGCTGAAGAAATAATCATGTACTTGGCTTTTTGGAAAATTTTCAGTGATATTCCTTTGTACAATTAAATACCCAAGTTTTCCTCTGAGGTCAGGAACGCTGCTTTCTGTGCCAGGGTAATCCTTCATACTGGGTGCCACATTTCCAGGTGGAGAGTTGACTACAGATTTTCTATTAGGCTGTAAGCATTAGAAAGATTCACTTTCACTTAGTGTAATCTCCCACTTTGTGATATGTCTGGAACTTTCACCACCCACAACTGGGTCAGATTTTCTTGCTTTATTTTACTAAGAGTTCGGTTCCCATTTAAAACCAAGAAAGAGTTGCCATGGTTTTAGTAAAGTTTTCACCCAGATACCTGAGTCTTTTCTGAATCAGCAATTAAAAATTATCAGCACCCAGCATGCAAAAGAAAAAGAGGAAAAAATGCCTTTAGACATTTAAGCAAAAAATGCATTCTTTTGAAAGTCTGGTCCCAACTTGGGGATGATGACAGAAAATACACCTCTACACATCTTCTAAATGTGCATGGAAAACAAATCTGTGAATAATGGACTAAAATGCAGGGGAAGGAGGTGAGAGAATTCACCTGACTTTAGCCTTAAAAAAAAAAAAAAAAAGAGCATTTATTGCACCTGGAAAAGCTGGCACTAAAAATACTAAAAATTACCTTACTGACAAAATTCAAAGAGCAAAAAATAAAAAATACTTCCTGTGTATTATTACTTTTATTTCATTTTCAATTTTTAGTTTATAAGTCTTGTGATAGTATCACTTTATGCTACTCCTGTCTCCCAAGATCATAAAAATGTAACCAAAATTCAGAATTTGCAATAATGAGAAATCAACTTTCACCTAAACATAAGCTGCAATTTATGGTCACAACACAGGAGACAGAGTTGCCCAAGAAAAGGGCCACAGTGAGACAGTGGTCTGGGCATTTTTGGGCTTGGTTTGGTTTTTTTAAACAATGCAAATTACTGATATTTGCCAGTTAAGCCTCCATAGCCTCAAACGTTTTAATGCGCAATAGTCTTCAAATAAATCTGCATTATGAAAGGTGGGAATAGATTGTTGTCTCTGGAGTAGCCTCAGAGCTTCTACTCAATCTTCTACTCTTTGTCCTTTCTTCTTTATAAATATTCACCCCAAGGAAAGGACTACCTGTTACCAATTAGGGCCCTATAAATCAAAATGATCCATGGTAAGGCCTGAGAGGTATCAGCCTGAGAACTCTGCATCAAAGAAATAGTATGAGGGATCTCACGTTCCAGAAGTACCTTACATAGTGTTTTACATGCAATCTTATATATGCATTAAACATTACAGGCTTTTAACATATTTGGGGAGAAAGAAGCCAGCCTTGCTGTTTACAGATTTGAACAAAACCTTTGCTGAGAGTTGTACTGCTGATGTTACATCTATCTTTTGCCTAATATTTGCCACCTGCAGTCACTGCCCAGCAGACTAAGCAACTTAAGCATTTAACACCTGTTTTCCTTTAAAAATGGCTTGGCAGAAAATAATCTAGTCTGTATATGTTTGTATCTAAATAAAAAAAACTAAGGACCAGTGTCTATAGGTTTGTTTCTGTATAAATTTCAGGGATGTCACTCATGTATGCATTGTTAAACACATGAGTGAGTGTTCCCAGCATCAAAGGCTGTAATTTTAACAAGCTGAGGTCCCAGTAACACTCCTAACAATTTTAACTTCTACACAGTACTAGCTGCCACCACAAAATACCTTTTGAAGATGTAGTTAATGATGAAGACTTATCTACTTGTTTATCCCACTATTATGTCAAAGATTCTAAATAAATGAAAGAATCTCAGAGATGTTCCTCTTCACGTATGACCCAGTAAAAGGATGCTGTCAGGTAGATTTACTCCCTTAGTTTGGGTGTTAACAAAAGTATGTTTGAACTTAATACTAATTGGAACATCAATTTTCTAAATGAAATATCAGTAATTTCGGTTTCCTTCTTGGAAGCAAATACTCTTGCCCCACAGTGCTTGTAACATGGCACAGCATAGTTACATCAGGTTATTGGATCAAAATACAAAATGAAGCGGAAACCAAACCAAAATTCCCAAATTCTCATTGCCCTAACTCAAGTTCACCTTACTTGATCGCAATCATTTTTAGTACTGTTGAGAACAAAGAGAATCTCAACGTGACAACATCCTTCTAAGTAAGTCAGACTCACACATGCAAAAGCCTAAGCCCTGCATTGTAAGAATGTGTGTGAACATGTGAAAGACGTGACTAGGTGTGTCCAAGCCTTTTCTACAAGTGACTAGAAGCCCCAGCAGCAATGATACTCACGCTGGCATTGTCCCCAGGACACTCGGGCCCAGCCCCAGCAGCAGTCAATTCTGCTTCCAAACCGACAGAGTCCTGCAGAGGAGACCATGTGTCTGGGCCACCTGAACAACACAGTTCAAAAAAATCTCGTGAAACATTTTGAAAGTCGCTAAAATCATCCTAGAGTAAAAAAAAACAAAACCACTCAAGAAACAAAAACAAACCAACAAACCAAACAAAACAACCAACCAAACAAATAAAGACAATGACCAACAAAAACCTCTCCTGCAGAGAGACATATAATTTTATTTTAAAAAAAAAAAAGAGTAACTGCTCAGTAGAGCTGAGCCGACAATATTTCTATTATTAATACTTTGTTTAGTTCAAAAAATGTAAATTACTACAGGTGAAGTGGAGAAAAGACAATTAGAGTAACTCAGCAAAGCCTGAGAAAACATGCTTTGCAGTATGCTCACTGCTGCCACTCCCAGGCTGGCATTAAACAGATTCAAAAGTCTGAAACAGAGTTTTTAATATGGAATAAACACCATCATAACGTTTCGGCATTTCGGTTTATTTCACAATATACAGCCAAATTTTCCGACTGATATGGCCAAATTTTCTCACTGGAGCGTTATGGGGAAAAATCAAAACAAAAGCTTCCTGGACAGTTAAGTGTTCGGAATCAAATACAAAGAAAGAGCTGTAGTCTTCCCTCGTCCCAAGGAAACGATATCACTGCTTCAAGCAGTTCTAAAATATTGACACGAATCAGTAATGTTTCTTAACGACAAGCTGAAACCCCGTGGGCGCTGCACTTGAACAAATCCTAAGAAAGAAATCCATGGAGAGGGAGGGGTCGCTCCGGCCGATTCCCACGCACACGGCGGTGTCCGCTCCCCGCAGCGCCGCCGATCGCGACACCTGTCACGACACGGTGAGGCCCGGCGGGCACGCGCGCCCCGAACTTCGTGTTAAAACTTGTGTCGCGATCTTCGCCGTCGTCTGCCGCAAGCGCCTCCCGGCGTCAATAAGCTAATTTTACCTTTACAGGACGCGAAGCGCTCTGTTTTTCAATTCGTGCAGGCAGGACGCGGCCCTGCCGGCGCAATAAACTTTTTTTACACCGAAGCCAGAGTTTAGGCTGCCGAGCAACGCGCGGCACTCGCCGAGGACGGGGGGCCGAGAGAGCCCGTCCTGGGGAGCCCCGGGAGCGGCACCATCGGCATCGCATCTCCATCGCGGCCGTGCCCCGGGCACCTCTTCCCGGCCGTGGGGGGACGGGAGAGCCGGGACACTTCCAGCCGAGGGCTCCGGGGGGGGCTGGTGCCAGGCAGGACCCCGAGGGCCATCACAGCGCCCGCCGTCGAACCCCCCCCGCGCCCGCCCGGGAAGGAGCCCGGAGTCCCTCCGCTCTCCCCGCGGGGGCTCCGACCTGGCCGAGGAAACACCGGCTTCTCTCCCTGCCCAGCCGGTCCCGGCCGCCGCCCGCCCCGGCTCGCCCCGCGCCTACCTTCTGTCAAACTCGCCGGCCGCCCCCAGGGAGAGGCAGGACGCCAGGAGCAGCCTCAGGGAGAGCTCCATGGCCCGGCGGGCGGCTCCGCTGGCCGCCCAGGCGGCCCCGGGGCGGGCGGCGGTGGCCGGGGCGCTCCCGCTGCCGGGCGGGCGGGGGTACGGCTGCCGCCCACGCCGGTGAGCTGCCACGGCTCCGGGGCGGCGGCAGCTCCGCGCTCCCCCTCTCCTCTCCTCTCCCTGCCCGCCCGCCTGCCTGGCTGCCGGGCGGAGGAGGCGCCGCACGGGGAGCGGCAGCGCCGCCCGCCCCCGGCAGAGGCGCCCGCGGCCGGGCCGCCCTCCCGCCGAGGGGCACCTGGAGACACCTGGGGCAGGAGGCAGCGGGAAGGAGCCCCCGCGAGGCAAAAAATCCGCACTCTGAGGGCGCTAGGGGTGGGCTTTGTTATTATACTCTTTTCTGGCTTGAACTTCCTGAAGTAGGGCGGCTACGCCCTCCTCTTTGCAAGCGAAGTCCCCATCTGAAGTCAAGAGCGTTGAGATTTGGTCGTCTTCTAACCAGCCAAACCTTCCTCAGAACAAAGCTTTTGGAAAGAATTACAAGGTGTATGTGGGGGGTTTTCTGGCTCAAACACTCCTATTACACAGCTGTCAGGTGTTGGCATGGGCAACATTAGGTGTGCCAGCCCCTGTCCAGAAGAAAAAGTGACAAGTTTAAAAACTAAGCACATAGTGTGTAAAGACATCCTCGCACCACTACCAACAGCAACGACTGCATCTGTACTCTACATTAACATGTTAAAATATAGACTTTATTTTTGTTTGGTTTCTATGAACTACCGGTCTCGGGACTTACCAAGGCACATTTTTAATAACAGCCTGTCACCAATTTAGGGTCAGAGCTGCTCTGAGATCCCAGATTATAGACAGATAGGGTCAACAACTTGAACTGTGTTGCAGAATTGGTTTTGATTTGTGCCTAAATCAAGGCTTAAGCTCACCAGCTGTTCCTACAAGAGTCTGGCAGTAGCTTAGAAGCAGAAAACAAAGATCTTCTCTGGATTGGGTTGTAGCATAATGCCAAACCCCTGAGGAAGCATTTGGATGCCAAACGCAGCTTAAAGCTTCAGATTTGAGCTGGTCATTCTGCACAGAACATTCTCCACCTTCAGAACACTTCAGAGATGATTCAAGCAACACTGTGCAAAGGTAACCACTTTTTGCACAAAATACTAATTGTGCCAATAAGCTTTCAAAAGTTACACCCTCCCCAGAGTGGTTTTACCACTTTCTACTCACATATGACCAGAAAGCCCCCTTCAATGCTCCTTCCCCTCTTTTTGTCATCTTTTCATGACCATATGATCCTATGCTAAGCTTTCTGTCCACAGCCTCAACCCGGAACTTTTCAGACACAGAGAAAAAAAAACAACTGTAAAAGCTACAAGGTGATGATTCTGCAAGGTGCTTAATACCTATTCTCAGATAACAAGCAAGCAGCAAACCCCCTTAGAGGACTCAGACAGATATAAAAACTGCGCTGAGGACCAAACCTGGTTCCCTTCATTCACATGAGAAGCTGATAGTCAAACAGTGAAGGCAACAACACAGTGCCATTTGGGAAAGACAGGAGAGCATCTGGGTCACATTAGATCCTTGTTGAAATATAGAGCTGATTTCCAGCTCTTGACTGATCACTCTTTTTTCACTTGTTTGTGTGATGTGGTAAAACAGACCATACATAATGAAATCACTGTCGAGATTTAATGGGCAAAAGGGGAGGAATCATATTGGTGATAACCACAAGGATTTCTTTCTGGTCACAGCGTCTGCCTGCATTTCTCCAACTTGTAGAAAAAAAGTGTCCACAAATTACACCACAGCCAAGTTCAGGGTGAGTGCCAAAAGCAACATCACTGTGAATTAAGGTCTAGGGCAACGTGACACTTTACCTCTGATGTCCATATCGTAAAGTCAATTCTTTTCATGCAGTGCTGCATAAATGGTACTTACATACACAGAACTTTAAAGCACACACTACCCCTTTAATGCATGTACACTCACAAATAACAGCAAGATCACTTAATCTCTCCAGACTGCACTATTTAAGATTTCCTCAGCAGTCTGTTTGGCAGTCCTGTATGTTAATACTAATGTGCTGCTCAGATGTGGTGCCTACTGCAATTAAGGTTGTCTGCTCTTGGTTAACTTTTGCTGCCTCTACAATTTGTTTTGGAACATAAGCCTGAAAAAAACAGTTAACCACTCACTGAAAGATCATGCACTGCATTTCCATACCCATCAGTGGGACTGAACATCCAGTCATTTATGAATTCATTTGCTTCGGCAATGCTTTATCAATTCTAATGGAGTTTTCTTAGCAGGGCAGTTTCTCATATCCATGACAGTAGAAGGATTACTAAGTGAGCTGTCAGAGAACCAAATCTCTTGACAAGTTAGAAGTGTATAAAGTTGTGTGGGTGTACACCAAGGTACTATACAGAAGATGGAGAAGTTGTTGGCAGCATTACTAGGAGCACTTTCGTGCCTTGTGTTTAGTGAAGCAGGATGAAAGTCTGGAAAAACGTTGAAGCAATAGGGTGGTCTGTCCTGATGTTCAGCAAGACTTATCTCACAACAGTATAAGTCCACAAACTGTGCATCAAATGCTCAGATGGATGAGCAGAACAAGTGCCCATGAAAGTTTTTTCAAAGGTACTGATAAGACACTTGATTGAGCACAACATGATAGTCAGAGTTTTAGCTGCAAATCAGTAGCAATGAAACAGAAACACAGAGGAAGGTAGTATTTTGTACAGCAATGCTGCTACTCTTGTGCGTAAAAAAATGTCAAAACTCTTGGAAAGGTAAATTTTTACTGAAAAGGTGTTCATTTTATGCAAGCATAGTGATCCTTCCTGCTTATTTTACTCTTCTTCATTTCCCAGTAAAGATCTTTACATACTTTGTACCAAAGAAGCCACACTATCAGCCACAATCCTTGTCTCACTTTCAGTCTCATGGATATATTGAGCTCAGGTTAAGACCCTTCTATGCATATCAAGACCTAAATTTGTAAAGATATGCTGTGTTAAGAACAGAGGAAGAGTCTAGAATACTTGCAGCTGAAACTACTTGCAGCTGACCACGCCATTAGCAAGCCCATTAGGTTCTGAATTATCTATAATTTCCCAGGGGGTGATGTCAGAGGTATATATTCTATTGCTGTTATTCTACACCATAAGTGATACAGGCACTTGTGGCTGCACACAAAACCGAATTTTGGTGATAAGGTGGCAGAGGGTGAAGAAATGACAGTTCTAATGAAGTGAAGCTTACCTATTGTTTTCCCAAATGACACAAACCTTTCTTGTATGCATAAGATCTGCTCCTCTTGAAAAACACTACTTACTTTTACTTCACATGGGGTAGACTGTGCCCAGCGGTCTCAAGTGTTTCAAGCTTCAGCTGCAGGGCTAAGTACAGGTTTTTAAAAGCTCTTTGTTGCTATAACCATTCCCAAGAGAGAAAACCAACAGAACAAAAGCAGTTTCTGGAATACTCCCCTGGGTAGGCAGTATTAAAAAAACAAGACCTGAAAAGATACAAGTGGCAGATATATTAGGCTGACAGATACTGGTAAATACAGTAGATGATAGAATATTGTAGATATGACAGAAATCACACAGAAACAACTTTAAAATTTATCTTCATTGTTTCAGGCAGCTGTGAATCGGACAAACACACAGAAGACATTGTTTTCAGGATATTCTACTGCCAAGTAACTTTTCTTTGAGGGAGGCATTAAATGAGTAATTTCTTTCAAATCCACTTTTCTCCTTGTTGTCCTAAAACACAATATGAATATTAATAAATTAAGTCCTCTATTCAGCAGAATCAGGCAATGCTCATTTACATAAACAGAAATTAAGGAACAGAAAATTACTTTTCCACAAATCAAATAATCTGTCATCAAACTAGGAACAGATCTGTTTTCCAATTTCATACTTAAACCACAAATCCATCCTTCCTCCCTTCTAAGTATTTCATCCTCATTGAGGCTAAGAAAGTTAACCACAAATCCCACACTACTTCAAGTCACTAAATCACACTATGACATGTGTAGAAAACACTTGATTTGTAGTTAATGGCAAGCATGATCATAGTCTGCATTTGTGCTGCTCAAGTAACATGTATACTTCCTGCAAAATGGAACAGAAGAAAAGAATCCAAGTCCAAATTATCTATGAGACTTTCAATGTCATTACTTTTTCTCTGGGGTTATGCAATTCTGTTTTTCAACCAGTTTTATATGTGGTATATTTATAAGTAGTATTTATAAGGTAAATATCATCTCTGTCATATGCTAGGTAAAAATCTCTATCAATCTCATGCTAATAAGAAAACTATGAGGCATCAAGAAAACACAGCAATCCAATCAGCCAAATCAATCTTGGTACTTACTTATTAAATGTTCTTAAAAGGGTAAAAAAGTCATCAAACCTGTCAGACACTGTAGTATCTATCCCATTACCTTCCAAACAGATAAACCCTGTGCTTTGGATACTAGTTCAAAGGATTCCAAATGCTTTTCCTGCATCAGGTCTTCCAAATTAATTTGCTTTTCCTAATAAGTTTTTTTCACGCATACTTGATCCCTTTTAAAAACTATGAGTGGTATTTGTTTTGAAGTTTACTGCATCTCCTTACAGTTTAGAGGAATTATTTTCCCCCATAAATAAACAATAATTTACCTTTCAAAGCCCACTAGAATTTCAAATTCCCTTCTGCCTATGTATTTTAAGAAGATTTCTAACTATCCATGTTATTAATCTTTGTATGCAAGGTATTTTGCACAGAGGATCAGAATGATAATCCCCAAAATTTAACATTACCTTGTTCATTAGGGAGTCAGTCTATTTCACCTCACTTAGTCTTTGTAAGGTCCTACTGTTCCAATACTACACCAGGAACATGCCCAGATAGCTCTTGATTAGCTCCAAGGATAGAAACTCTTCAATATCTCTGGGCAACCCATACCAGTAGTCAGTCACCCTCACAGCAAAAAAGTGTTTCCTCACGTTCAGGTGGAATCTTCTGTTGGACACAACTGACAAATGC